TGATCATGGCCAATCCTCTCTCTCAACTTCGTTTTCTGGCTTTCTCCTCTGACTCCGTGAGGCCTTTAAAATCTAAAAATGTCTCCATCTGTTGAATGTCAGATTTCGCTGAGGCTGACTACTTGCACTGCATACTGTTTTACAGCTCGCGATGCAGGCCGGAAGTGAGCCTCCTCCAATCTGGCGAGTGCAGAAAGCCTCGCTCCAGCAGTTTGTACCCGAGGTGCGGGATGGTCAGCGCCACTTCTCTTCCAGTGCTCAGGTAAGCTCAACTGCCCCTCCTTCCTTCCTTTTCCCTTTCGCTCCCCCATCTCTCTTCTCTCTGTCTGTGTGTCTCTCTCTCTCTGTCTGTCTGTCTGTCTCTTTCTCTCCCTCCCTCTGTTCCTTCCTTCTCTCCCTCCCTCTGTTCCTTCCTTCTCTCCATCTGTCCCTCCTTCTGTCCCTCCTTCCCTCCCTCCCTCCCTCCTTCCCTTCACCTCCCCTTGCGCTCTCACGCTCTCTCACTCTCTCTCTCTCTCTTCCTGCCACCCGATTCTCTCCCACCCTCCCACCAGTCTGGAAAGGACATACCTCAAGTGGTTAAGTACCCACAGAACGTAAGCAACAAAGACAAGAGTGTCTGTGGCTCAGTGGGCAGCACTCCCATCTCTTGAAGCACAAAGGTTACAGGTTCAAGTCCCACACCGAAGACGTGAGCATTAAAATCCAGGCTGGCGCCCCCAGTGCAGTCCTCAGGTGCCAGAGGTGCCCCCTTTTGGAATGAGATGCTCAGCCATTAGTCCTGTCTGGTGGATGTTCCAGAACAGAAAGTGCCCTGGTATTATTTTGAAGAGGAGCCTATCCCTCAGCCAACATCTACACAAAAACAAAACAGGTTATCTGGTCATTCCCATATCACTTTGTGGGAGCTTGCTGTGCACAGTTAGCTACTACGTTTCTGACATTATAGCAGCAACTACCCCTTTTGAATATGTCTAATGGCCTAGTGAAGAGAAGGTGCTGTATAAATGCAGATCTTTCAAATCGTACATTTATATAAATCTGGAATTAAGGGTCCGATTATGAAACCGCTATTGATTGTCAGAAAAACCCATCTGGTTCACCTAATGTCCTTTAGGGAAGGAAATTTGCTATCCTTATCTGGTCTGGCTTACATGTGACTCCAGACCCACAGCAATGTGGTTGATCTGGGTAATTAGGGATGGGATGTAAGTGCTGGCCGAGTCAGCAATGCCTGCATCCAGTGAATGAATAAATAAAAAGGCATAATTCACAACTTCTGTTCCTAAAAGCTTTACGGCCAATGAAGTCCTTTCAAAATGTAATTCCTATTGTAATGGATTAAATATGGCTGCCAGTTTGTGCACAGCAAGCTCCCACAAACAGCAATGTGAGAAATGACCCGATAGTCTGTACTTTCCATGATGTTGTTCCAGGGATAAATATTGGCCAGGACACTGTGAAGAAGTCTTGATTCCTTTGATGGCCAAATTTAAAGGGCAGGTGGAGGTCTCTGTGCAATATTTCCTCTCCTTTTTTTAAGGAGAATGGGGAGGGGCTTGGGGAGAGAATTCCAGAGATTCGGCCAGCCACTGGCCACCCTCTATACCACCTGTGGGCAAAGTAGTTACTGCCAACTGGGATATTCAACTACAGCAGCCATCACCAGTTTTTCAGAAAGGACAGTGATCTGGGATGGAAATCCTAGATTTTTGTTTCACTCATAAGCCTAGGCTGCTGGGATTTGAGTGTCATTGAGTAGAAGTATCTGACCCAGCACAGTTCTGGGATCAAATCTGCTGTCTGCAGTTTAGAAAATTGTCATTGTTGGTTTATGGGTGTTGTTGGCTAGGTATCCGTGAGAAGGTGGTGGTGAGCTGTCTTCCTGACAGCTCCAGTCTTATGTGGTGTAGGTAGAGCCACAATGTTATTAGGGAGCAGTTTTCCCAGAATTTGACCCAGCAACAGTGAAATAATAACCTTAGCAACATACTGCGGATGCTGGAAATTTGAAATAAAAACAGAAAGTGCTAGAGAACTTAGCATGTCTGGCAACATCTGTGAAGAGAGAGAAACAGAGTTAATGTTTTGGGTCTGATATAACACTGTTCTGAAGAAGTGCCACACTGGACGCAAAATTCTGTTTTTCTCTTTCCATAGAATCTGCTTGGCCTGCTGAGTTTCTGCAGCATTTTCTGTGTTAATTTTAGATCTATGCTCTGTGATGCCCCCTGTTCAAGTAAGTAGGCCATCTCTGTTCACTGTATTTGGGTCCTTTGTAACCTTACAATCAAAAGTCACAATGCAAGGTTATAGTCCGACTGGTTTATTTGAAGTCACAAGCTTTCGAAGCGCTGCTCCTCTGCCAGGTGAAATGTTCACCTGGAAATCCAAAATGACAACAGAGAGTGCTGTAGAAACTCAGCAGGTCTGGCAGTGTATGTGGAGAGAGAAACGGAGTTAACGTTTCAACTCTGGTGTGACTCCTCACCGGAGTTCTGAACAAGGAATGGCCATGTTTCTCTACATTGGGATTTTTTTTTTTATTCAGCCGCGGGACAAGGGCATTGCTGACTGGCCAACATTTACTGCCCGTCCCCACTTGTCCCTCGAGAAGGTGGTGGTGAGCTGCCTTCTTGAACCACTCTTGTCCATGTGCTGACCCACAATGCTGTTAGGGAGGGAGTTCCTTCAGGAATTTGAAGGTGGAGGTGTTCCTGTGCCCTGGTCCTCAGTGGTAGCGGCTCTTGGTTTGGGAGGTGATGGGTCGAGTCGTTTCCATCTTGCACGCCCACCATAAAAAATGGCCGCCGATGGTACAGTGAAGTGAGCAATGAAACCTTCTCCTCTTCCTCATTAGTATATCGAGTACCCAGATGAGGTGAAGACGGACTACCAGCGGCTGTACGTGAAGTTTCTGGAGAATGTGGAGAAAAAGGACTACGTACGGATCTGCTCAAAGAAGCCCTGGCACAGGCCCTTGCACCTGGCCAAGAAGCAAGACTCTGTCGCCATTTCTGGCGAGACAGACGAGGAGGATGAAGAAAGCGGAGGCGAAGGCGTGTTCCGGGAGCGTGACGAGTTTGTCGTGAAGATCGACGACATCAAAGCACTTAAGGTAAAGCAAGCCCCCTGGTGAAACAGTAACTTGCACCTTGGACAAAAAAAAACAGTGTCCACCATCATCATAAACCAACAATCCCCCCAACTCCCCCAAACCGAAACCCTTTGCAGGAATTTCGGGCAAACCAAGGTGGACGCAGAACCAAGTACAGAGGTATTGAGGCAAATAAAATAAAGTGTGGGCAAAGGGGAAGACTCATAAAGAATGAATTAGAGGCGGAAGGGTCTGGAGAGGGATTTCCAGAGATTCAGCGTTATGTGAAGATGTGACTACCTATGGTTAGCGAAGGGACGTTTAGGAATCTGGAAGAGGCCAGGATTTGGGGGAGTTCCGGGTCTGGTGGAGATTAGAGATATGGAGTGATGAGATCATCAAGGAATTTGAATATGAGGATGGGGAATTTAAAACTGAAGTGTTGCTGAATCTGGAACGTGATTTCTACCTTGTTCTAGTCTAAGTATAAAGACCAACATTTCATTATCCTTTCTGAGGATCATTGGTTTGAGCCTTGAGGAAATGATGGGCTGAATGGACCATTCCTAGAGACTTTAAGCTCCTCCCCGTGAAGATACCAGTTCATGTTTGAATATGGAGCTGGTGCCAAGGGTATGCACCTAGGCAATGCATATAGTTGGGATATTCTTCCACAGGTGGCATCACTGTCTCTTTGAACATGGTCTTGTTGGGGCGACTCTACTCTCTTACAATGAATGTAAAGCTCCTTCGACACTGTCCCCATTAACACCTCCGGGATGGCGTCAGCACTGTTTTAGGTGCAGGGTAAAACACTTTACTCTTTTAAAACAAAAGTAAAGTTCTTTTGACACTGTCTCCATCAAACACTCCCAGGACAGGGACAGCATGGGATTAGAAACAGAGTAAACCTCCCTTTACTCCTTTAAACTGAATGTAAAGCTCCCTAAACAGCCCCTAATGAGGCGCAGTAACAAAACAGAATCATAGAGTAATACAGAATGGAAACACAGACCCTTCGGTCCAAGTCATCCATGCCGACCAGGTTTCCCAAATTAAACTAGTCCCATTTGCCTGAATTTGCCCTATATCCTTCTAAACCTTTCCTATTCATGTACCCTAATCCAAATGTCTTTCAAATTTTATAACTGTACCTGCATCTACCACTTCCTCTGGCAGTTTGTTCCATATATGCACCACCCTCTGTGTGAAAAAGTTGTCCCTCATGTCCCTTTTAAATCTTTACCCTCTCATCTTAAAAGTATACCCTCTAGTTTTGAACTCCCCTATCCTGGGAAAAATACCTTTGCTACTCACCTTATCTGTGCCCCTCGTGATTTTATAAACCTCTATAATGTCACCCCTCACCCTCTTACACTCTAGGGAAAAAAGTCCCAGTTTATCCAGCCTCTCTTCATAACTCAAACCCTCCAGTCTCAGTAACATCCTTGTAAATATTTTCTCTCCAATCTAATAATATCCTTTTTATGGTAGGGCAACCAGAATTGAACACAGTATTCCAAAAGTGGCCTCTCCAACGTCCTGTACAGCCACAACATGACATCCCAACTCTTATACCCAGTGCTCTGCCCAAATAAGGCAAATATGCCAAACGCTTTCTTCGCCACCCTGTCTAGCTGTGATGATGTTTTCAAGGAACTATGTACCTGAACCCCTAGGCCTCTCTGTTCGACAACATTCCCCAGAGCTCTACTGTTAACTGTATAAGTCCTGCACTGGTTTGCCTTACCAAAATGCAACACCTCACATTTATCTAAATTAAACTCCATCTGCCACTCCTCAGCTCATTGGACCAGCTGATCAAGATCCCGTTCTAGTGAGATAACCCTCTTCACTGTTGACTATACCACCAATTTGGTGTTATCTGCAACTTTACTAACCATGCCTCCTATATTCTCATCCAAATCATTTTTATAAATGATAAACAACAGTGGACCCAGGACTGGTCCCTGCAGAACACCACTGGTCACAGGCCTCCAGACCGAAAAGCAACCCTCTCCCACCACCCTCTGCCTCCTTCCGTCAAGCCAATTTTGTACCCAATTGGCTAGCTCTCGCAGGATCTGTTGATCTAACTTTACTAACCAATCTACCATGCAGAACCTTGTAGAAGCCCTTGCTAAAGTACATGAAGACAGCCTCTACTGCTCTGCCCTCATTTGTGTTCTTGGTCATGTCCTCAAAAAACTCAATCAAGTTTGTCAGACATGGTTTTCCATGCACAAAGCCATGCTGACTATCCTTAATAAATCCTTGCCTCTCCAAATGCATGTCTTTCAGAATCCCCTCCAACAACATATCCATCACTGATGTGAGAGTCACCGGTCCATAGTTCCCAGACTTTTCCTTGCAGCCTTTCTCAAACAAATGCCCAACATTAACCACCCTCCAGTCTTCCGGCACCTCACCCGTGGCTGTTGATGGTACAAATACCTGCGAAGAGCCCCGCATTTCTTCCCTAGCTCCCCACAATGTGGGGTACCCTTGATAAGGTTCTGGAGACTTATCAACCTTTATGCTTTTTAAACTTCCAGCAACTCCTCTACTGTAATGTGGACTGTTTACACGATATCACTGTTTATTTCTCCAAGTTCTCAAGCATACAGGTCTTTCACCACAGTAAACACTTAACATGAACTATTCGTTTAGTATCTCACCCATGTCCTGTGGTTCCACTCATAGATGGCCTCGTTGATCTTTAAATGGCCCTATTCTCTCCCTAGTTGCTCTTTTGTCCTTAATGAGCAACAAATTAATGCTAATGAAACTTGTATAAGGAAATGGAAACTTGTCAAATTAAAATAGCATTGTCCAGGGTGATGATGCAATCCAGCCCCTGCGGTGCCCTCAGGTTTGTAAAGGCCTCTATCGTGCTGGTGAGCCCTGCATGCTCCTTCTCTAGGGACACCCAAGTGTGGGTGTGACTGTGAAAGAGTGACAGACAGTCAGGAATAATGACCCCCTTTTTGGCCTGCTGCCTTGACCTGTTAATGGCCACTTTGGCCATGCTCAGGAACAGACCCATGAGAAGGCCCTTTGATTTACCTGCCCCTCCCCACACAGGAGCACGGGGCTGAAGTACAATGAACACTTAAGGAACAGCCCCTTCAAAAAACTGGAAAGGGGCTGCAGACAAAAACTTCCAGCATAAATGTGACGTGCGGTTTTGTCCCAAACACAAAAACTACACGTGGGCTGGCACCCAGTGTACTTACCCAACCAGTGGTGCATGGGACTGCTGCGTGCAGTACTGTCTCAACCGGATCCCTAAACTGTACCCCAAAGCAAGCTGAGATAACAAGGTGTAGAGCTGGATGAACACAGCAGGCCAGGCAGCATCGGAGGAGCAGGAAAGCTGACGTTTCGGGCCTAGACCCTTCTTCAGAAATGGGGGAGGGGAAGGGGGCTCTGAAATAAATAGGGAGAGAGGGGGAGGCAGATAGAAGATGGATAGAGGAGAAGATAGGTGGAGAGCACACAGACAGGTCAAAGAGGCGGGGATGGAGCCAGTAAAGGTGAGTGTAGGTGGGGAGTCAGGGAGGGGATAGGTCAGTCCAGGGAGGATGGACAGGTCAAGGGGGTGGGATGAGGCTAGTAGGTAGGAGATGGGGTTGGGACTTGAGGTGGGAGGAGGGGATAGGTGGGAGGAAGGACAGGTTAGGGAGGCAGGGACAAGCTGGACTGGTTTAGGGATACGGTAGGGGGAGGGCAGATTTTGAAGCATGTGAAGTCCACATTGATACCATTCACCCAGCTCTACACCTTGTTATCTCAGATTCTTCAGCATCTGCAGTTCCTACTACACCCAAAGCAAGCTGCTGCTTTCTGAAGGGAAAACGTAGGACAGCAATTGGAAAATCAACAGATTAGTCACAACTGGCATCGCCAACCCTTCCGAGATGTTCGAGAATCTCCAGAAATTGAAGAATGATCTCCTGGGCCATGTATGGGGGCTCAAGAGAGAAAAATAGTTGTGTTTGCTTTCTTATATGTGCTCACATTGGCCCAGATTGATCCGGGAGTAGCTACTGTGTTGTGGCTTTTTTTTTCCATCCAACGCTACTCCAACGGGTTTTCCCGAACCCAGCTGTCCCAGAAACACAGAGCACTGTGTCCCTCGGAGAGAACTCTGCAGTATCACTGGGGGTTTGGGAGCGTAACCACCAACCGCACATTTTTTTAAAAACAGCAGTTATGGTAAGTTTAAGATGCTAGTGAATGGGCTGAGTTGAAGTTGGCAAATGGGGCAGGTAGGTCAGGTGGCAGTTGGGTGGTGGGGAGGGGTTGGGCAGTCTGGTTTGGGGGGGTAACTGGACAATCGGTGGGGGTCACTTGGGGCATGTATTCAGGTAGTGGGTAGGGAAGGGTTGGGGGCCAATCGGGTATAGGGTGGCATTAGATTGTTGATGGGGGGACCTGATGGGGAGGGATAATCAGGCAGAGCAGGGGCTAGTTGAAGTGAGGAGGTCAGTGAGAATTGTTGGGGGGTGGGTTCAGGCATGGTGACTCCCAGGTTAAACCCATTACTAGTTGTCCCTCTTTAAAGAGAGAGCATGATTCTTTGGGACATTGGACTTCACTAGTTGTGTAGTTACCCAGGAGTTAGACTAGACTTTTTACAGTCTAACATTTCCAGGGTAACTCTGCAGGTTAGCAAATTGGAACTTGTCCAGAGGGCGACCGGGAGCATATAAGTTTTCCCTCAGATTTTCAAATTTCCTGGACAATCCCCTGGACTGAGAGGATTGGGATTCTGGCAGGACCCCGCTCCGGGTTTGGAATGCACATCTGGTCTCCAATGATCCAGGGACTGGGAAGGTTTGGGCCATTCAGCCCTTCGGTGATGAAACTAGAGAGTGAGAAAGAAGCCATTTGATTGGTCTAAAGTAATAGGGAGGATTGGCGAGGGAGGGGCAAATGGACATGGCACAGAAAGCTCCAGGAATGTGTCGAATCGGAGTTGGTAGTGCCCTGGTGATGATCGATAACGCCTCTGCTTCCTTTGCCCACAGCTCGCCATGCAGGCTGGACGGGAACCGCCACCCATCTGGCGAGTGCAGAAGGCCTTGTTGCAGAAGTTCACCCCCGAGATCAGGGACGGCCATCGGCAGTTCTGTGCAACCAGCAAAGTAAGGACGCAATCGCTGGCGAGAGGGAATTTGCATTTGTATAGCGACTTTTGTGACCTCGGGGTGCCCTTTTACAGCCAGTGAAACACTTGCGAAAAGTGCACTCATCGCTATCATAATGTAGAAAATGTGGCAGCCAAATTTGTGCACAGCAAGCCCCCACCATAGCCATATACCAATGACCAGGTAATCATTCTGTATTTTGTTTTGTCATGCTGTTTGATGGATAAATACAGTCCAAGACGCCAGAGATGAGAGCCCTCCTTCTCTTCAAATAGTACAATGGAATTGTTCACTTCCACCAGAAAGAGAGAGAGAGAGGTTTAATATCTCAGTTGAGAGACAATGCTGTCTTTCAATGTTGTAGCACTTGGCACTGCGCTAGGAGGGTCACCCTAGACTTTGTGCTGTAAAGTCTGGAGTAGGATTTGATCCCTCTGCTATGACACACAGGGGATGGTGGGAAGGAGGGAGAAGTGGAGTACAACTCCACGACTCACCTCCTCACTCCCCAAAGCCAATCCATCATCGACAAGTACAAGTCAGGAGTGTGATAGAATACTCCCCAATTGCCTGGATGAGTGCAGCCCCAACAACACTCAAGAAGCTTGACACAATCCAGTACACTGCATCCTGCTTGATTGGCATCACATACACAAGCATCCATTCCCTCCACCACCCACGCTCAGCAGAAGCAGTGTGTACAATCTACAAGATGCACTGCAGAAATTCGCCAAAGATCCTCGGACAGCACCTTCCAAACCGACGACCACTTCCATCTAGAAGGACAAGGCCAGCAGATATGTAGGAACACCACCACCTTCAATTTCCCCTCCAAGCCACTCACCATCCTGACTTGGAAATATATTGCCTTTCCTTCACAGTCGCTGGGTCAAAATCCTGGAATTCCCTCCCTAAGGGCATTGTGGGTCAACCCTACAGCAGGTGGACTGCAGCAGTTCAAGCTCGCCACCACCTTGTCAAGGGGCAACTAGGAATGGGCAATAAATGCTGGTCAGCCAGCGATGCCCACATCCCACGAATGAATAAAAAACAAAGCCACTCAGCCAACCAGTGATGGGCCATGAATGTTGGCAATAATGGTTTCAATAAAGAGAGCGGTTTAATAGACTTAGAAGGTGCTCCCAGTCAACGAATGTACATTTTCTTTATTCTTTCGTCAAATGTGGGCATCGCTGACAGCCCATCCCTAATTACCCTCGAACTGATTGGCATGCCCGGCCATCTTAGAGGGCAGTTAAGAATCAACTGCATTGGTCTGGAGTCACATGTAAGCCAGACTGGGTGAGGATGGCAGATTTCCTTCCCTGAATGGGGTTTTACAACAATCCATGGTCTAGCTCTACATTCCTGATTAGTTAATTGAATTCACCTTGCACGGCAGCCTTGGTGGGATTTGAACCTAGTTGATCCTGTGGACCTTTGGATTACAAGCCAAGTGATGGTACCACTACCTTCATTGTGAGTTTGTGGAAACAAAATGCATTGATCCATGATCCAGATGGGTGATTTTTCAAGGTGATTCCTGAGCACCCCCATCCATCTCTCACCTCACTCCCATCCTGTCAGCCACCTCTCCCTCCAGCACCCTTGATGCGGACACTTCAGCAATATTCCATCTAAACCAAGGGGCTGCTCCGAGGCTCTTCCCATGCTTATTGCCAATGCCAACACATAGACCTCAGGTTCAGGAGTTGCTGCCATGCACGGACCTTGGAGGTCCATGCACTGAAAACAGAATTAGAGAGAATGTTAAGTTGGGGTCAAGAGCCCGTTAGCCCTTGCTAAGTAGGCAATTGCTAAGCAACAGGTGGGGTCACAGGCCTAACATATTCTGCCTTTTCCTCTTTCAGTATCTTGGCTACTTTGGTCACGCAAAAAATGAATACCAGCGACTCTACGTTAAATTCCTGGAGAACGTCAACAAGAAGGACTATGTCCGTGTGTGCTCCAAGAAGCCTTGGCACAGGCCGCAGCAATCCCTGAGGTACAGACGTCTATCTCCGTGAAGGCAGCTTTCAGTTAGTGCTAGTGTGAGCTTCCTCCTTTATAAAACATGATAAAAAAGTTGTTTGAGAAAGTAATAGGGTCTTTGGGTGAATACTCAGGTGGTAAGCACCAGACGAGGTCTTTGGGGCCTAGTGCAAGTGCGGGGGTTAGAAGCCTTGATTGGAGTTGGGTTACGGAGGGGTCTCACAGTGGGACTTTGATTGAGTGTCCTCACACATTCCAAGCCTCTTGGATCAGGAGCATGAAGCCTTGCTGATTTTCCCTTTGCCCCTTACTAAAAAGAAAGAGAATTTCGCTGCTGTTTTCATGACCACCCACCATCTCAAAGTACTCTATAGCCACGTTTTGAAATGTAGGCACTGTTGGCGGAAGTACATGAGCCAATTTGTGTACAGGAAGCTCCCACAGACAGCAACACGGCGATGATAACAAATATTTGGCTTCCCTGTCAGTGTAGTACTCCTCCTTGACTGTCAGGCTTGGGTTTAGTACTCAAGTCCCAGAATGGAACCAGGGAAGGGGCCAACTAGATCCCGCCCCCTGGCGACAGCCACCCTGGCTCATATCCCACTGCATTTTTCCCTGACGGGGCAAGGGTAGAGAATCTGAATGTAACACTCCCTCTCCCGGTGCTGACTTGTCGAATTTGGTGCTTTAGACGGCAGAGCCAGACAAAGACCACTCCTAATCGAGTACCGGTCGTGGTTAAACCGGAGCCACCTGCTCGGCCAGCATCGAAACCCAAGCAGAGACCATCCAAAGCCAAGGCCGAGCCCCCTCCGAAGAAGCGGAAAAAATGGCTGAAAGAGGTTGCTTCATCAACGGAATCGGACTCTACCCCCAACCAACAGAGTGAAGAGGGTGAATGGCTTAGTTTGATTTCTCTTCGCCACCATTTTGTGTTTAAGTTGTGTTGTGTTGACTGTTGGCTTGTTCCATTTGGATTTTTTTAATGGAGGAAATATTCAGGAGGCAAATGGTGAGGATGTGGGAGGGAGTGGAGCACTTTCTAGATTTGGGATCCATTCCTTCCCAGCTCAAGCATGAGAGAAGCTCGTGTCTGAGTTAAGCTTCCTTCAGAATGCAACATTGAACACAGACAGTACAGGGTTAGATACAGAGTAAAGTTCTCTCTACTCTTCTAAACTGAAAGTAAAACGAAAATAAAGCTTCCTCAACACTCTGCCCATCAAACACTCTGAAGCCAGGTACAGCACGGGGTTGGACACCGAGTAAAGCTTTCATTATTCTTTTAAACTGAAAGCAAAGCGAAAGTAAAGCTTCCTCAACACTGTCTCCGTCAAACACGGGGTTAGATATAGAGTAAAGCTCCATCTACTCTCTTAAACTAAAAGTAAAACCTTTCTGTTCTTTTTAACAAAAAAGTAAAGCTCCCCAGACACTGCCCACATCAAACACTGCTGGATAGGTACAGCACGACGTTAGATACAGAGTAAACCTCTCTCGACACTGTTCATCAAACACTCCCAGGACAGTTGCACCACAGGGTTACATACAGAGTAGCATTTGTCTGATTTGAAATGGTTGATGTCTTTGCTCCCACACCTGCAACCTTTCTTCTATGTGGCATTGGTTGTAAAAGGCGCTGTCAACGAAGCCTTGGTGAGTTGTTGCAGTGCATCTTGTAGATGGTACACACTGTTGTCACTGTGCATTGATGGTGGAAGCAGTGAATGATGAAGGAATGGGATGGGTGCTGATCGAATGGATCGCTTTGTTCGAGATGGTGTCTTGAGTGTTGCTGGGGCTACACTTCTCCAGGCCTCGGGAGAGTATCCCAACACACTTTGGGGTTTCCCCATCTAATATGTCCTGTTAAGGTGAAACACGGTTTAAGCTGAACCTACATTAGACTGGTACATTATTTTAAGCACTCAACCACATACCCCATACAGTGTAAATTCCCACACCAGTTGATCACCTCACCAGTGAGACTGAATAAAGGACTGCAGGTTGTAGGCTAGTGAATGCTAGATCAGCATGGACTAAATTCTACAAATTTAGGAATGACAATAAAGCAAAATATTGCGATGTTGGAAATTTGAAACAAAGTGAAAATACTGAAGAAACTCAGGTCTAGCAACGTCTGTGCAGAGAGAAACAGTTAACATTTTGAGTCTAGTATGACTGCTTCACAATCCTGAACTCTGAAGGATAGTCATATTGGACTGAAAATGTATGAAGAAATGTGGTGATGTGCAACACAAGGATACGTACGAATACATTCAAGCAGGTGCCTTAAGGAAGAAAACAGACAAAACTTAAGTGAGAAGGATGTATGAATGGGATTAGATAAAGGAGGGTGCAAGGTGACTGTGGAGTATTTACCACCAGTATGAACCAGTTGGACTGAATGGTCTGTTCTTGTTCTGTATACATTGTGCGAGGAATACAGTCCAAGCTCCTGTGGACTTCAGTGATCCGAACTAATGTTCAATCCAAAAGTGCACGTATTTCTTGAGCTTCCCCAGGTGCTGCAGAAATAATCTCACCCTGGGGAATGATTTGTTTAAAGTAAACACAATAAATGGACTTTGAAGTAAAACAAAAGTCTGTCATTGTGACCTGGAGTCTTTCGAATCCCAGACAGTCTGTTGAAGTTGAAAGCGGTTTAGCTTGTACAGTGTAGCTGCATAGTTTTGTTGTTTTTGCTTGCATCCTGCTTTCAGCAACAGGCACTCCACCAAGAGTCGTGGGCTCTGTGTTAGGTCTAACCTGACTTTGGTTGTGTGTGACCTATGTGTCTTGCTGCACAGGGATATTTCCAACCGCACATGTTACAGCAGATGTCAGTGAGGAGTATTGGAAGCTTTGGAAGGAGTGTAGAAACTTGTAGGGGCAGCATGGTGGCTCAGTGGTTAGTACTGCTGCCTCATTAGCACCAGGGACTTGGGTTCGATTCCAGCTTTGGGCTGCTGTCTGTGTGAAGTTTGCATATTTCTCCCTGTGTCTGCGTGGGTTTCCTCCACCATCCAAAGATGTGCAGGCTAGGTGGATTGGCCATGCTAATTTGTCCATTGTGTCCAGGGATGTGCAGGCTAGATGGGTTAGCCATGGGAAACGCAGGGAGACAGGGATAGGGCAATGGGCTTGGTCTGCGTGGGATGCAGTTTAGAGGGTCAGTGCAGACTCGACGGGCTGAATGGCCTCTTTCTGCATTATAAGGATTATATGATTCTTTACTGTTGACACTCTTGGTGCATGCTGAGCTCTGCCTGGGAAAATGGAATACGTAATTAGACTAGGCTAGCATTGTACAGAGCAGGAAGAGACCACTCAACGTGACATGCTTATGGCCAGCTCTTTTTGAATGCTGTGTCCACTTAGCACCACTTATCATTATCCACAAGTTTGTATTTTTTGTTTCTACTTTCCAAAGTTACAACTGACCTTTCACTGCCCCTTCAAGCAGCACTCTCCAGATCCTAACAACTTGCTATGTTTAACAAAAAAAAAGTTCTCCTCATCTCCTCCCTGGTTCGTTGCTGGAGTAAAATGAATTATCGGGTTTAGCAAACTTCTACTCACACTCAGAGTCCAAAGGTTTCAAGGTTCCATTCATAAATGGACATTATTGTAGAGTTCAGGGCTGAAAATATTAGTAATTCATCAATACTCTGTTATAAAGTTCAAGATTGCCCCACTCAATCAATGCTAATCATTGGTCTGGAAATATATTGCAACAGAAAGAAGGATTTGCATTTATATAGCATCTTTCACGACACTTGGACATCTCATACTGTTTTACAGTTAATGAAGCACTTTTTGGTCTTTGATGTGCTGGTGAATTAAGGGACAGTTGAACTAGTTTGTGCAGAACTAAATTTTTTAATAAGTTATTTGTTAGGTATATTATGTAAACTAGAAGAGGGCACAGGTTCAAGGGAGAAGTGCAGGGAATTTTTTTACATAGAGGGTGGGTGTTTCCTGGCACACACTGCCAGAGGAGGTGGTGGAAGCAGGCACACTAGCAACGTTTAAAGTTTATCTTGATAGACACATACAGGAGGCGAACAGAGGGGTAGAAACTGGTGCAGGCTTAGTGGGCTGAAGGGTCCGTACCTGTGCTGTGCTGTGCTGTATTGTATTGTATTGTTGCATAGTCCAAATGGAGGTACTATGTCATAACCACTGGTGGGAGGGTGTAAGTGCAGTGTGATATGTTTACATAGCTAATTGCCATTCTAATTGTGGATGCAGGTATTTGTAGGTTGGTCCAGAATGTGGAAAGCAGTTTGTAATCAGGCAAGGCTTGCAGGCAAAGTTATTGTTTAAAAGTATGTTCTTGCATATAAGCAACCTTCCTGAACAAGATCTACCAGCAAACGTTCTTTTAGATTGAGGAGTAGGAAACACAGAAAGTCATGAACAAGTTCCTTGTGACAAACCCCAATTGTCTTTGCATTACCATGGTGAGAGTGGTCCTTGCTAAACAAGTTCATGACAAGCCAGAGGTACTGTACAATCAAATTCCACTACCGGACCTCAATACAAACCTTAAACATATGTGGATGACAATGTTGTAAATATTGGTTCCTTTAAGGATGAACCAGGATGTTCTGCAGAGCTGGAAGAGTGCAGCTGATACTCATTGGAACATAGATTTAATGGACTTTGCATTGGAAACTAACTAATTGGAAAACACGGGTGATTTACTGGTGGTGGTTAATAGTTGAAACAAAAACCATGGGCCATTTGGTGATAGGAAAATAAAGTGTTCAGTTGTGTGTAAGAGCACTTCGGGATAGTAAAAGAAAACAAAAAAAGACTTTTGTTTTGGGATAGCAAATTGTGGAGTTGGAGGAACACAGCAGGCTCTTTCTGAAGATGGGTTCCGACCCGAAACGTCAGCTTTCCTGCTCCTCTGATGCTGCCTGGCCTGCCATGTTCCTCCAGCTCCACACTTTGTTATCTCTGACTCCAGCATCAGCAGTTCTTGCTATCTCTCTTTTTTTTTTGGAAGGCTTTTGTGGTAGTCTGCCTGTGGGCCAAGTTGCCTGGCTTCAAACTCCAGAGATTTGTAATAAAATCTCTGAAGAGGTTGATATAAATAAAAATTGCTGCCTCTCCTTTAGACAGAGGTGGGCACTGCAGGGTGTGAGGTGCTTTATTTCACCATTAACTCCATTTGAACTTAGTCGCTTCCCTTTTTCCCTACCTTCCCCTCATTTTTGTTCATGCCCAGTGGACAGTGCTTGCTGAGGAAGTGTCACTGGACCCAAGATGTTAGCTCTGATTTCTCACCACAGATGCTGCCAGACCTGCTGAGTTTTCTCAGCAATTTCTGTTCTTGTTTGTGCTTGTTAATTGTTTGTTTCATAGATTATTTAGGTGATTGCATAGTGGTTTATTGGGGGAATAATAAGGCTGGTTTTTACCAGGAAAGTTGATTGGGAAGGAGAGAGAGCAGCCTGGAGTTTGTATTGAACAATGAAATGGAAATAAACATCTGAGGAAGACAGACTGCTTCCTGGTAAATGGACCGACAGCAATACAACAGTGCAGAGACACAAACACATCTCTGAGGACATTTTCCTCTACAGACTCAGTGGCACACAACTCATCTTAAACTCAGAAAATGAGGACTCTGTCATTTGGGTTTTGCATTTGCAAATTAAATAGCATGTCATAATTTGACCACAAGCGATTAACCAGAATGCGTCTCTGTTCTGCAGAACGGATCCCAACCGGCCGCATCCTGAACACACGGGCAATGAAGGAGATGTACAAGAGCTACATCGAGCTATTGGTCAGTGCGGCCCTTGACCCAGCCATGATCGAGACAATTGAGGCCAACAATGGTAGGAACGATGAACAAATTGCAAACTCTGTATACAGTTTGAGTGGGCATTTTCAGCCTCATTCATTTGCTGTTCTTCCCACTCCACTTTAATATTTTCGTTTCTTTTTATTTTCCCTACTCCCTCGCTGCCCTTCTCAAGCCTCCATGGCTGTGCCTTTTGAGCCAACGCACTGCCTCTCGCCTCTTTGTGTCTCATTCACTGTTTCTGTTACTGATCTCTCCCTTACACAGGGGTGGCATAGTGGCCCAGTGGTTAGCACTGCTGTCTCTCAGCGCCAGGGACCTGGGTTCGATTCCACCCTTGGGCAATTGTGTGGAGTTTGCGCATTCTCCCCATGTTTCCTCCAGGTGCTCCGGTTCCTTCCTACAGTCCAAAGATGTGCAAATTAGGTGGACTGGCCGTGTGAAATTGCCCTTAGTGTCCAGGGCTGTGCAGGCTGGCTGGATCAGCCATGGGAAATGCAGGGTCACAGGGATAGTGTTGGGGGCTGGATCTGGGTGGGGTGCTCTTCAGAGGGTCAGTGTGGACTCGATGGGCTGAATGGCCTACCTCCACGCTGTCAGGTTTCTAGGATTCTTACAGAACCCACTCTTGGGTGTGTTTGAGATGCAAACTTTCAAAGGAAAACTTGTCAAAGTTTCTGAAAATGTTGTGGGTTAGAGGGATGGCATGGTGTTAGGAGACTAGATTAGTCATGCAGTGACCCAGGTCAATGCTTCGGGGCATGGAAGCTGCTGGAATTTAAATGTGAAGTTAGTCCCAGTCCTGGTGACCATGACAATTTTTATCAGTGGTTGCAAAAACCCAATAAAAAATCCATCCGTTTAGGGAAGGAAATCTGCAGTCCTTACGCAGCCTGGTACCACATGACTGCAGATTCACAGCAATGTTAACTACCCTCCTAAATGGACAAACGATTCACCATGTCCAAGGGCTGTTAAGGACAGGCAACAAACTCTGGCCTTGCCAGCGATGCCCACATCCCATCAAAGAATATGAAAAAAAGGAATTAAACTGCTTTGAGGTTTGGTTGCTGATTTGTGTCTTTGCTTTCTGGCTGTAGATGAACTTTATTTACCAACCATGAGGAAAATTGATGGAATTTTAACAGAACATAAGAAACGCGTGACAAAGCGAGTGTCCCTGAGCTCCTCACTCCAGGTATCTGTGTCGATTGCTTATTTAAGTTAAGCATACAGCCTGAGGGTCAGTGGGACATGAAGGTGTGGAGTTCATATCACACAAATAAGGATGGAGGTCCTTGATGGCTCTTTTGTTTAACTACTTTGCTTCATCCTGGGTTGAAGGGGATTGTCTTATGAGGAAATGATTGGGACTGTACCCATCGGGGTTTAGAAGAATGATGCAGGATCTTATTGAAACATGAGATCTTGCGGGGGCTTGACAGGGTGGATGCTGAGGAGATATTTCCAAGTGGTGGAGTCCAGGGAGCACAGTTTAACAATTAAGGGTCTTCCATTTACAACAGAGTTGAGGAGATTATTTATTTTCCTCCTTCCAAGCAATGGAGGCTGGATCATTCTATACATTCAAGGCCAAGTTAGACAGATTGGTGATTGATGAAGGAGTCTTGGGCTAAGGGGAACAGGCAAGAAAGTGGAGCCAAAACCAGAAGCAGATCAGCCATGATGTCATTGAATGGCAGAGTAGGCTCGAGGGGCCAAAATGACCTACTCTTACTTCTAATTCTTGTGTTCTTGTGAATGTTAGATACAACAAAGGTGCCTTGGCTTGTAAAAATATCCCAAGATACTTCTCAGGAGCCTAATCGGGCAAAATTTGACCACTGAGTTGAAACAGAAAAGTTTAGCTTGGGCCAAGAATTAGGCTTTTAAGGAACATCTTAATGGAAGACAAAGCGAGATGGAGGGGTTGAGGAAGGGAATTGTGGAGCTCAGAGCCCAGGCTTCTGGGCGGCACAGTGGTTAGCACTGCTGCTTCACAGCGCCAGGGACCCGTGTTTGATTCCAGCCTCGGATGACTGTCTGTGTGGAGTTTGCACATTCTCCCCTTGTCTGCGTGGGTTTCCTCCGGGTGCTCCAGTTTCCTCCCACAGTCCAAAGATGTGCAGGTTAGGTGGATTGGCCATGCTAAATTGCCCGTTGTGTTCAGGGATGTGTAGATTAGGTGGGTTAGGGGGGATGGGTCTGGGTGGGATGCTCTGAGGTTCGGTGTGGACTTGTTGGGCCGAAGGGCCTGTTTCCACACTATAGGGGTTCTATGAAAAAAAAAATTTCTATGAAAAATACAGCTCCCAACAGAGGGGCAAATGCTGTTGGCATTTCACAAGAGGCCAAATTTGGAGAGAGACACAGTTCTTAAGGGGTGGTGGTGGAGGATACTGAAGCAGGAGGCAATGAGGGTTGAGAGATCCAAATTTGAGGCTTCGGTGATAATCTGTCTCTGTGCTCTCCCCCTGCAAATGTTTCCTTTACAAATATGTATCTCGGTCCCTTTTGGAAGTTGACATTGAGGAGAGATTGTGACATTGTGGTAAGATCACAGGGTCGTCATCAATAGGCTCAGGCTGATGCTCTGGGGTGTGCATGTGTTCAAATCAGTTGGTGGACTTTGAATTCAGTTAACAAAAACCTGGAATATAAAGATATTCCAGTCCCAATAATGGTGAGACCATCATTGATTGTTGTAAAATCCTTCTTGTTCACAAATGCCCTTCAGGGAAGCAAATGTGCTGTCCTTGCTGGATATGGCGTACCTGGGATTCCAGACCCACAGCAATATGGTTGACTATTGACTGCCCTCTGAAAATGGCCTCATCAGCCAGTACAAGGGTGTTTAGGGATGGACAACGAATGCAGACCTTGCCAGTGATGTCCACATCTATGATCTCTTCATGCACATCACAAAGACTGGCTGTGTTTTAAGATAAAAGTCAAAACTCTACATCTTTCCTCTGATTCTATGGCCAATTATCATGCATTTATGCCCTCTGATTGCCAATTATCTTCTTGATGACAATGTTTCTCCTTATTTAGAATCATAGAATTTTACAGTACAGAAAGAGACCATTTGGCCCATCATGTCTATGACAGCCTTTGTATCATCATCATTTTTAAACCCTAACTAATTCTCTCCCTAACTGCGGAAAAAAGTAGTCGCAGTTACTCTTAGTCATATCAGATTCGGTGAACGCTTACATTCCTGATAATCTAGTGAATATCCTTCATAACTCCAGAGTCCCTGACATCCATCTTAAAAATAAAATTCCCTCCATAGGATATAATAAAGGATTGCATATAAATGCTGTTTACTTACTGAATACTGTAAAGCCAGGTGACAAACTCATACACATGGTATTGAACACAACTGAACTGCACAGTGTGTCTCTGTACTGAGGAAAGACAGAACTAAATTAGAAAGTAAATCAACTCTAATGCACATCATTTATACCAGTCTAAAGAATAGTAACACTTAAAAATCAGATTTGGGCTGATAAAGTGACAAGTGACATTTGTACCACACAATTGCCAGGTGATAACCGTCTCCAACAATTAGAATCTGACTATTTCCCCTCAACATTCATTGGTATTGCCACTACTGAATTGCCCAATATCAATGTCCTGGGTGTCACCATGGACCAGAAAATGAGCTAGACTAGTCATGTAAATACTGTAGTTACAAGAACAAGTCAGAAGCTAGGAATTCTGCAATGAGTAACTCATCACCTGAATCTTCAAGGCCTGTTCACTTGTCTATAAGGCACAATTCAGGAGTATGATGGAGTACTCTCCACTTGTCTGGATAGGTGCAGCTCCAACAACACTTGAGATGCTCCACACCATCCAGGACAAAACATTTTGCTTGAATGACATCCCATCCACCCCCTTTCAACATTCATTCTCTTCACCACTGATGTAGCACTGCAGTAACATGCCCAGGCTCCTTTGACTGCATCTTCCAATCCCACAACCTCTACTGCCTAGGTGGAGCAGATACATGAGAAGCACAACCATCTGTAAGTTGTCCCCCCAGTCCACACGCCATCCTGGGTTCGAACTTTATCACTGTTCCTTCACTGTCGCTGAGTCAAGATTCTGGAACTCCCTCCCTACCTGCACTGGGTTTTCTACATTCCCCAGGACTGTAGCGGTTCAAGAAGGCAGCTCTTTCTCCAGGGCAACTAGGAATGGATAATAAATGTGGCCTAACATCCATGAATTAATAAAGAAAATGTATTATTTGGTCAGTGTGATTGCTAAGAATTAAATATAGTATTTGAACAAATGTCTGTTTTAGCATGGCATTTAATTTGTCTGCTGCCAGAGTTGCCCTTGTCACATTCAGGCTGTTAAAATCATCACCAAGGTGTGAATTGACAAATTTGCAGCAAGGAGAACAGGTCACCTGGGACCTCACTGAGCAGGACAAGCAACAAGAACATTGACTTACTATCTGATCGAAGGATGAGAAATTAGCAGTGCAAGGTCTGAGAAAATGTATAACTTAAATTGGTTAAAGACAGAGAAATGAAGTGAGAGGAAGAAAAATGAGATTGAGAGAGAGAGAAAGGAAAAGGAATAGTTTTAAACATTTTAAAGTTAGATATTTCTAATCTTTAACAACAATTAAAACCTGAAGGAATGAGACTCTCCACTGAGAATAGTTACTTTGCAGTGCCAGAGGGGTTGATAGGGAATAATTAGCAATTATCATGACATTAAAAAGGCACTTCGCTGGAATGCATGGACTTAGCATTCTTGTATTTACCATGCATATCCAGCAAGTTCGTACCACTCAATGCAAGGTGAACACTTGTGATGCCACTTGTGGATGGCAGGCATCTTGAACAGTAAATATTTGAAGAATTGAGCGTCACTGTGCAAATGGCTCTTTTGTGATGTTGCTGCAGCATTTACACTTCTTGAGTGCTGTGAGCGTTGCTGGTCTGTGGACTGGACAATGTAGACCATCTGGTCACGTTTTGGCCATATGCATCTGGTGTGTTACAGGAGGGGCTGCAAGCATTCCCCCAACTGGTTGTTGAGGACTGTGATGCAGACCGCAAGGACAACCCGGCCAGCTCGGTGAAGTTAAAAGTGGCCGGGACACCCTATAACCGGAAGACACTCAACCAACTAAAGAAGAATGTACCGCGGACACAGGTAGGACACCAGTCCAGCCAGCCCTGGCTGTTTTGGGAGGGAGGCCGTTGAGTTTAACAGTTGGATCTGATGTCCTAGGGATGGTCCAAAGTGTGGGATGGATGGTGCTGCATAGTGGACCCCATTTTTCCGAAGAAAAGTGACATTGCACCGGGTCAGCGTTGGGGGGTTTGGGGGGATGTGAGGATGTTTGGAAAGGTCATTTCTAATGCCCCTTGTGTGGAACAGCTAATTGACCTATCGCTCTCCCAACTTTCACGGCCACTCAGATGAACACAAAAGAACCCATGAAATTGTACCTGAGTCAGTGACATCGGAATATAGTGGCAAGCAGTGATCGTTGACCTCTTGAGCCTGTCTGCCTGGTTTCGTATCCGTTGCCAATTAAAAAGAAGAGGTTGGAGACAAAAGGCAAGGGACTCTAAATAAGTGAATATTTTTGGTACTGGTGCACGGGTGTGCGGCGCAGGGTAATGGGTCTTTTGTCTCCTGACTACGTTTTCATGATTATCTGTAACAAATCCATGCTGTGTTTGATGCTTTACACCTTGGGGACTTGCTGCAAAAGAGCACACTATTTGATAATAGTGATATCTTTGTTTTTTTTAAATACAAATCCCTTCAAATTAGGCATTTTCAGGCTCTGTCTCTCGTCTTCACCAAACAGACTTGCCAACAAAAAAAGTGATTGGGAAAAATAATTTTTAGTCGTTAACCAATGTTGAAATATTGAACGACATTTGTTGCTCAGAAAGCTGCTCCGTTTCATTTCAGTGGTGTAGAAATGGCTCCCGTCAGCGGTATAAGCCACTTGTAAGACCTCAGCTGAAGTGTTGCGTACAGTTGTGGGCATAACACTGTAGGAAAGATGCATTGGAGAGAGTGCAGATGCGATTTCAAGGAATGGTTCCAGGAATGAGAAACGTCAGTGATGAGGATAGATTGAAGATGCTGGGTCTGTTCCCCTTGGAAAGAAGAAGGCTGAGAGGAGATCTGGTAGAGGCTTTCAAAACAATGAGCGAACTGGATAGAGTAGATAGGAAGAAGCCGTTCCCACTTGTAAGCATGAGGGCGGAGATTTACAAAAGGAACAAATGTGATGTGGGAGAAAAAGTTTTTTCACACTGTGAGTAGTTAGGGTATGGAACGCACTGCCTGAAATTTGTGCTGGAGACCAGTTCGATTGATGCATTCTAGAGAGCATTCCGTGATTATTTGCATAGAAATAGTGTGCAAGGCTATGGAGAAAAGGAAGGAGGTTGGCACTCAGTAATGACGCCCGTTTGAAGAGCTGTTGCAAACACGACAGGCCAAATGGCCACCTCCTGCCCTGAAATTCTACATGCCAGTGGCAAGACACTAGCTTGGCTGTTTGATTTCTATTATTGCAGTTCACTGTTGTCAAGACCAGCTCACTTTTGAACACCATCTCTTGCACATCAGCAAATCAAGAAGTTGGACTTGCTCCAGCAATGTCCATTTCAAACACTCTTAACTTTGAATCAAAGGGTTCCTCACTGGGACAGACTCGACAGACTCACACCATACTGCAGATTAGTTATAGTAAAGCTTTGTAATGCTATTTTCTCCTCGACTGTTTTTGATAGCCTGAAAGAGACAGTGATGAATTTTTTTCAGACTGTGATTACCCCCTTTTCTTTTCGGTTTACAGCCTTTCCCAGGGGATTGGATAACTGCACGGGTGAGGAAGGTGGGAAAAGGAAGAGCGCAGGATTGGGTGGGATCTGTCTAATCAGGATAGCTCTGGCCATCAGGTATATGAGTGACGAACCAATGATTTTATTTTCCCGCCTACCTTTGAGTTTTGTCTGTGCACATGTGAGGAGGGGAGGAGGTTGCTGCTTGGTTTACAGGGTGTCTACAGACTGGCAGTGCCCATGCTATATCCTCATCGATCACTGAGACCATCCTTTGCTTTGTTTTCCAGGACTTCCAAGTGGAGGCAGAGAAATTGCAGTTTTACACCTTGTTCCACTCCCTCCATCACTACAAGTACCACACATTACTGCATTGTAAGGAGCAGGTGAGCTGGTTTCCCTTCCTGTTTGATTCTTCTCTTCCTCCTAGAAGCAACATTAGTCTATTCTTGTTACTTCTCCCCATATCACTCTCTGCCATCATCTCACCAAACACCCACCCCTCGGTACTGCGGAGGAATTGGAGGAGGTGGAGTTATTCTCCTGGGAGGGTGGATGTCACCGCGCTTTTCACCATAATAAAGGATTTTAATTGAGCAAACAGGGGCAAACTGCCTTCACGCTGGCACAACGGCTGGTCAGCCAAGGACATGGTTTGAAGTGAATGGCAAAGGAACCAGAAGCAGTGTGAGGATCCTTTTTTTTTTAGTGTATCGTGGTGTGTTGCTGTGATTTAGAATGTGCTGCCTGAAAAGGCAGTGGAAATAGATTTCAGTCAAATTTCAGAAGGGAATTGGCCAAATACTTGCAAAGAAAGATTCACCGGGAAGTACAGCAAGTGCAGGTGATGTGGATCTAATGAGATTGTTCTGGCAAAGAGCAGGGACAAGCACAGTAGGCCGAATGTCATCTTTCCATGCTGAGTGATCTACATCTGTAAACCACAACGCAAACCATATTAATTCCCTCAGTCTGGGCTTCCTTTCAAGCATGAACGGAGGCTTGTTGATCTAACTTCCTCGTCTCCTAGTACAGACAGTTGAACTGAATGGCTTCCTTTTGTGGTGTAATATTCTATTCCGTTCCCCAGCTCTGTAATGAGGAGGTCAGTCAGAAGGGGGAGTACCTGCCATTGGTTCCCACTCGGTCAAGCAGGCTCAATAGGCCAGGTGGGGGTAGATTCATTCAGTGTTTGGTTGGGAACAAGGCATTGCTGGCTTTTGTTACCCCTCCCTAATTGCCTCTGGATAACGTGGTAGTGAGCTGCTGCCCTGAACTGCTGCAGTCCATGTGGTGCAGGCCCACCCACAGTGCTGTTGGCGTGAGAGCATCCCAGCACCAGGAAGGGTGTTTGTAAGCCATCATTCGCCTGCACATTCTATGAGCTTTGTTTGAAAATCTTTGTCTCTCTCAGAGCAATCAGGAAGGAGGTACTCCTCTCACATGAGCAGTGAACTATAGGAAGGATGGTAAAAGAGGCAAAAGAGAAGGGAAGTGGTGTTTTTCATCAAGGAAAACATTACTCTTCGAGCTAGAGAAAATATTTCTGAAAAATTGTCGAGTGAAAATATATGGGTTGAAATTAAAAATAAAATGGGAATAATCACCTTGATGGGATTGTACTATAGACCTCTCAATAGTTAGAGGGAAATTGAGGATCAAATATGTAGACAGACCTCAGATATATGTAAGAATTTTCCAAACATTGATTGGGACTACTTTGGTGTTAAAGGTTGGATGGTGAAGAATTTGTTAAAGGTGTTTAGAAAATTTTCTTTATCAATATGCAAAATTTGACCCTCTTGAGTAATAGCACAGGGCAAGTGACTGAAGAGATGGTAGGGGTACACTTTCAGTCTAGTGATCATAATTCTATTTGTTTTAGAATAGTTATGGAAAAGCTTAAGCTTTCCATAAAAATTAAAGTTTTTAATTAGAGTAAGGCAAATTTGACTGGGCTGAGACAAGAACGTTCAAAAATTGATTGAAGCAGACTGTCGCAAATAAAGGAACATTTAATAAGCAGGAGGCTTTCAAAAGTGTGATAACGAGAGTTCAGAGGAATCATGTTCCTATTACAGTGAAGGGTAAGGCTGGTAGGATTAGAGAACTATGGATATTGAAGTTCTAGTAAAGAATAAAGAAGAATCATATATTAGATATGGACAACTGGGACAAATGAATCTCTTGAACAGTATAAAAAGTGTAGGAGCATTCTTCAGAGGGAGATCAGGAAGGCAAAGAAAGAATATGAGATTGCCTTGGCAAATAAGGATAGGGAGGTGAGTGGTTGGGGTCTTTTCCCCAGGGTGGGGGAGTCCAGAACTGGAGGGCATGGGTTTGAGGTGAAGGGGGGGAAAGGCACCCTAAGGGCAACTTGTTCACGCAGAGGGTGGTGCGTGTATGGATTGAGCTGCCAGAGGAAGTGGTGGAGGTTGGTACAATTACAACATTTAAAAGGCACCTGGATGGGTATATGAATAGGAAGGGTTTAGAGGAATATGACCAAATGATGGCAAATGGGACTAGATTAGTTTAAGACATCTGGTCAGCATGGACGAGTTGGACCGAAGGGTCTGTTTTCATGATGTACATTTCTATAATCTAAAGAGATTCTACCAGTGTATTAAGAGCAAAAGAGCAACTAGAGAGAGAGTAGGGCCCCTTAAAGATCAAAGGGATTGTCTTCGTGTTGAAACTCAGGAAATGGGAGAGATATTAAATGAATACTTTGCATCAGTTTTTGCTGTGAAGAAAGAAATGGAGGCCAGAGAATTCAGGGAAATAGATATTGATGTTTTGAAAACAGTTCACATTATAGATGAGGAAGTTCTAGAGGTCTTAGAAAATATAGAGGTAGATAAATCTCCAGGACCTGATCTAGTCTATCCCAGGACTTCATGGGAGATTAGGGAGGAAATTGCAAGCTCCTTGCAGAAATATTTGTATCATCTATAACTATGGGTGAGGTGCCGAATGACTGGATTGTGGCTATTGTTGTGCCTTTGTTTAAGAAGGGTTGTAAGGAGAAGCCTGGGAAGTGTAGACCTATGAGTCTGACTTCGACGGTGGGTAAGTTGTTGGAGGTGATTCTGAAAGAAAGGATTTATACGCGTTTGGAGAGGCAAGGATAGTCAGCATGGTTTTGGGCGAGGGAAGTTTGTCTCACGAACTTGGTTGAGTTTTTCAGGAAGTAACCAAGAAGATTGACAAGGGCAGAGCAGTAAACGTTGTTTACTTGCACTTTAGTTAAGCCTTTGACAAGGCTCCACTTCGTGGTCTAATTAGTAAAGTAAGGGCATAAGGGATTCAGGGTGAGCTTGCCAATTGGATACAAAATTGGCTTAACCATAGGAGACAGAGTGTTGATAGAGAAAACAAGATGTGGAGCTGGATGAACACAGCAGGCCAAGCAGCATCAGAGGAGCAGGAAAGCTGATGTTTCGGGTCTGGACCCTTCTTCAGAAATGGGGGAGGGGAAGGGGATTCTGAAATAAATAGAGAGCGGGGGGGAGGCGGAAAGAAGATGGATAAAGGAGCAGATACGTGGAGAGGAGACGGACAGGTCAAGGAGGCGGGGATGGAGCCAGTAAAGGTGAGTGTAGGTGGGGAGTTAGGGTGGGGGTTGGTCAGTCCAGGGAAGACGGACAGGAGAAGGAGGCGGGGATGAGGCTGGTAGGTAGGAGGTGGGGGTGGGGGTTGAGGTGGGAGGAGTGGATAGATGGGAGAAAGGATGGACAGGTTAGGGAGGCGGGAACGAGGTGGGCTGGTTTTGGGATGCGGATGGGGGCGGGGAGATTTTGAAGCTTGTGAAGTCCACCCGATGCCACCTGAAGGTGGCAGGAACAGCACCTCATATTTCACTTTGGAACCCTGCAGCCCAATGGTATCAATGTGGACTTCACAAGCTTTCCTGCTCCTCTGGTGCTGCTCGGCCTGCTGTGTTCATCCAGCTCTACACCTTGTTATCTCAGATTCTCCAGCATCGGCAGTTCCTACTATCTCTGAGTGTTGATGGAGGGTTGTTTTCGAACTGGAGACCTGTGACCAGCGGTGTTCCACAGGGATCGATGCTGAGTCCACTTTTGTTTATCATTCATGTAAATGATTTAGATGAGAACATAGAAATCATGGTTAGTAAGTTTACGGATGACACCAAGATTTATAATATAGTGGACAGTGAAGAAGGTTATCTAAGATTACAAAGAGATCTTGATCGATTGGGTCAATGGGCTGAAGAGTGGCAAATGGAGTTTAATTTGGATAAATGCGAGTTATTACATTTTGATAAAACAAACAAAGACCAGATTTAGACAATTAAAAGTAGGGACAAAAACAGAAGTTGCTGGAAATGCTCAGCAGGTCTGGCAGCATCTGTGAAGAAAAAATCAGAGTTCAACTTTCAGGTCCAGTGAGGATAAGGTGGAAATTATCAGGGATTTCTAAAAGGAGATTGGATGGGTCCATAGAAATAACATCGCCGGACTACAGTGATAAGCAGGAAAATGGGACCAACTGGATTCCCCTGCAGAGAGCCAGACTGAATGGATTGGCCAAATTGCCTTCTTGTCAGCCAAAATAACTTCACAATGCTAACACTCCTGTCCCTTTTAGGGAGGGAAACTGTCAGCATGGTATGGAGTGGTCTAAACATGTTCTGGTGCAAGGTGACAAGAGCTGAAACCTTAACACTGTGTTTTCTCTCCCGCTGCACGGATGCCTGTCCTGCTGTCCTGGCATTTTATGTTTATGTTCCATAAGACTTTTTTTTCCTTTATTTATTCACTGGATGAGGGCATCGCTGGCTAGACAGCATTTATTGCCTATCCCTAATTGCCTAGAGGGTAATTAAGAGTCAACCCCATTGTTGTGGATCTGGAGTCACATGTAGGGCAGACCAGGTAAGGATGACATTTTCTGAAGAAGGGTCTAGGCCTGAAACGTCAGCCTTCCTGCTCCTCTGATGCTGCTAGGCCTGCTGTGTTCATCCAGCTCTAGATGACAGTTTCCTTCCCTAAAGGACATTAGTGAACGAGATAGCTTTTTCCAACAATTGACAATGGTTTCATGGTCATCAGTAGATTCTTGATTCCAGTTTTGTTTTATTGAATTCAAATTCCACCATCTTCCCTGGTGGGATTCGAACCCGGGTCCCCAGAACATTGTCTGGGTCTCTGGAGTAACAGTTCAGTGATAATACCACTAGGCCATCGCCTTCCCTGTCTGTAAGACCATAAGAAACAGGAACAAGGGTAGGCTGTTCGGCCCCTCAAGCCTGCTTCACTGTTCAACAGGATCATGGCTGAGCTGACATTCCTCACATCCACTTTCCTGCCCTATCACCATAACCCTTGATTCCCCGACTGATCAAGAATCTTTCTATTTCAGTCTTAAATACACTGAAGGACTCAACTCTCAGTGCAAGGAGTTCCAATGACTCTCAACTCTTGGGGTAACCAGGTGCTTGGCAATGGAAGCCATCTCGCCTCAGTTCAACATCAAATATTTTAAAGATTCCATCTAAATTATCTAAATCAATTTTAAATCGGAATGAGTGAGATCTGACACAAATGTGTCTCTCGTAATCTAGCCCATCTTGGGCTTCCTTAACTAACTTCACTGTACAAACTTGCCCTCTCAGAGGGGAGTGGTATTATTGACCTGGTCAAAAAGTGTGATAGGTTGGAGGGAGGGTGGCAGATTGATTTTATTCATAATTAAACTTGTCCCCTGCCTAGGTGACAGGCTGATATTTAAATCGCTGGTGGAGACACAAGGCCTTTAACTCAGGCTTCTAAAACTGGAATAATCAATTGGAAGTTTAACCATGACCATTTAGAGCTGTAGGAATTGTTTACTCTTTAGCTTGTGATACAGACATCAGACTACTTTTAAGGGCAAGTTTTTTTTTCTCATTCAGAAATAAAGTATTTATTGAAATTGTGCCATGGGTGATGGGTTTCAACATGGCTGCCCCATCTTTCATGATCCGTTTTGAAAGAACTATTACGAGCTAAAATTAAACCAAGCTTTCATTGCAAGAAAAAAATAGTGACTAGGGAATTCAGTATTGTGTGAAAATGGATGTCAGAGGCCTGAGTGATTTAAGTTTGAATGCCACCATGGCAACCAGGGAACTTGCGTTCAATTGATTAAATAAAATCTGAAGTAAAAATTTGTAAAGATTAAACTACTCGGTTGCCATGGTTGCTGTTGGGTTTCTATCTGCTTTAAATGAGGCTCTTTAGGGAAGGAGATCTGCTGTACTGACCCAGTCTGGGCTATATGAGCCTCCAGACTAACAGAAAAAGTTCAGGGAGCCACTTTAAGAAGGTATTTAAGAAGGTGTTTCAACATCTTATCACAATCAATTAAAAATGGGTAATGAGTGCTGATCTTGCCATAAAGCCATACATCCTGTGAATGAATTTTTAGAAAGGCCTCAAATTCAGTGCCCAAGACTTGTAAAAAATTTGCTCATGGATACGAGTGTCACTGACAAGGCCGGCATTTATTGCCCATCCATAACTGCCCATGAAGTGAGTGGCTTGCTGGGGCCATTTCAAATGGCAATTAAGAATTAACTACATTGCTGTGGGTCTGGAGTCTCAAGTAGGCCGTAAGGCAGATCCCTTTCCCTAAGGGACATTAAGTGAACAAGATAGTCTTTTGCAACAATTGATTATAGTTTTGTGGTCAGCCTTGTTGACACTAGTTTAAATTCCAGATTTTATCAATTGAAATCAAATTCCACCAGCTGCTGGAGGGAGATTTGAACCCATGACCCCAGAACAATAGCATACCAATTCAATGATACTCCCACTATGCCACTGTCATGGTTAGCAACTGTCAATCACATAGGAACGCCATCTCTGCCTCCCCCCGCACCCCTATTCTTGCAAAGAGCAGAGGGCATCAGAACAATAGATAATGGGTTAAAGCTTAATAGAATACTGAAAGGACAATAGGAACTATCTATAGACCTCTCATATCATTTGATAAGTGTAAGGACCTTGAGGTGATGAGCTGGGCATTTACGATATGACATGATAGATGTCGTAAATTTGGTGAGAATGGCAAGGTTCAGTTCTCTCGCAGGAACTCGGTGAGATTTATCCTTTGAAATACAAAAGGAGGCCATTTGGTCCATCTCTCTTTGCCTGATCAACTTGGCCAGTTCCATTCCTCTGAACTGTTTTCTTTGATTCCTACCTGTAATGGTACAAACATTTTCTCATCATTGTTTGCATTTTGTTTGTAGTCAAAAAGCAGACTGAGAGCCTAAGTAACCTTTAAAGAATGGGCAAAAATAATGCAAATTTGCGATTATAAAGTCCCTTGACAGTATAGGTTTTGAATATTGCTGATACAAGAGTAGTACTGCCAAAGCTTTTCATCTTGCACTGATATGGATGAATGCAAGAATGCCAAATTTCAATCAATCATAACATTTTATACCACAGGAGAAAGGGGTGCTGACTGGTTGGTAAGACATTTCTATCTGAGGTATTGCTCCAATTTATCAATTGGGCTTGTGATGTGGCTCATCTTTGCTCACTAGAAGCAACATGCATTTGGAAACAGGCACCCACTCTCTGCAAGCGAAAGGAATATGTTTGAGCCTTGCACTTTATTTTTGAGTGACTGGGAAGCTGGGGGATCCTGTAGTTCCCCACTGCTTTCCCCTGGACCAATTGGAATGCGCAGGTGACGGTGTTTGGATGTTGCATTTGCTTTCTCCCTCCTTCTGCAGACGGACACTCTGTCGGAGGTGAATGAGGATCTGGGCCAGGAGGAGATTGTGCAGCAGTGTATGCGGAATGTGGCGTGGCTGGAGAAACTCTTTGACTCGTTCAGCGAGCTCCTTACACAGGTGCAGCAGCAGTGTGCGTGACACCTCCCGCGATTGACAAGGCTGCCCGGGACTATCCTTTCTCTTTCTCTCATTCTTCCATCCCCCCTCCACTCCATCACAGATCCCCTCTCGCTGCCACCTTGTTCCTAGCCCTTGTCCTTCCCTCCGACGCTGGACTCTTTGTCCAATTCAAAAGGACGTAGGACTTGACATCAGTGATCAGTGGAGCTGGCCTGACCTTCGTCACTGGATTTACGATTTTATTTTTTGGGATTGTTGTTGTTGCTGTGCGGTGATTTCAGTGCAAAAATATTCGGTTAAGATTGTTTAATGACTTATTACTTTCTTCCTTGCCCTTCGGATAAATCCTGACGGCCTAGGCCTCGGCCTGCTCTCAGAGTATTGAGGGACATCGAGGTTTTAGGAAAATGGCGACGGAGGTGGGGCACACTGGGAGGGAGGAGTGTTGGGGGAAATGCCCAGTTGAAAGACTTGCAAAAAAAAATGTGGTAATTCTTTTTTTTGTTGCAACCCCGTCCACCTCACCCGCCTTCCGAAGATGCCATCTGCCGTTTCCGTGAGATGAGTTGCGGCCTACTCACCAATGCTCAGTTTGAAGGTCACGTATTAACCCAGCTCACTAACAATTTCCTTTCCCTCTGGTGACACTGTGTTAATACAGCTGGAAGGTGTGGTGTTTGAGATGGAGTGGGGGTCAATGATCACATTGGCTGCAACACTGCCCATGGTGACCTGAAGCATAGCAGAGAAAGACCTGCGACAGAGAAAAAGAAACAGTGTGTAAAAAAGGAAAAACAACGTTAAGACAAAGGTCAGGTTTTCTTTTCTTTTTTAAAAAAGACAAAGTTTCATTTAGGTTTAGGTCAGACTGCCTATCACAACTTGTCTTTTAAAAACAAAAGTGAATTCAACCCCTTCAGCAAAATTAACTACGAACATATCCTTTAACCACAATCCACTTCCTCATTCTCTGATTTTCCTCAGATTCAAAATTTCCTAAAGAGGCGCTCAATACTGTTTTTGAGCACTGCCTCCCTTTACTGTGGTCCATTCCAGGTCTCACTTGTCTATGTTGGTTATTCCTGGTGTTGGATATGTGAGATGATGGATAGCCTGATATGTGATAGCTGACACTTCATTCATTGTTCTGGGCAAATTAATGACAGTAGAGGTGGGGTGGCAATGTTTGGGTTATAATTGTCTTCTTCTTCCCTCCCCAACTCCAATCCCACCCCCACTCTTTCTAACATGCCCCTTCCTGACCCTTGTCAATTTGGAAGTTGTAAACTATCGCTGACCCAGCCTGTTCTGTTCTCTGGTACTGACTCCTCTATCACTAATCTCACCTGTTCCCTGAATGCACCTCCTTCATCCCATCCAGTCCCACCAGCTCCTTGGCATTTGCTTAATCTTAACCCAATCCCGTTCCAAAGGCAAATTCCTGAACATAACAACTTGCCTTAATTATGGGGGGGCGGGGGAGGAGTTGGTTGGGTGTAGTTCTGGGGCACGGGTAGGATTTTTTGTTCCCTTTGCAGGAGGCAAGGACAAAGGTCAGAGGTGAGCCACAAATGTCACACACCAACCATTAGGCCTTTTGACTGACCTCCTGGATGGAATGCTCCCTATCCAACCGTCCTCTGGGCACCCCTTGGCTTTTTCTGAATGTTTGGGAAGGGGATTCCCTTGAATGTTGTGCTTCCTTTTCTCTGGAGACTGGAGATGCTGTTTTACTCTGTCACTGGCTTTCTTTGCTTGTCTCATGAGCTGCTGACATGGTGTGCCAGCTACTCGAGCAGAGATCTGACTGCGATGTTATATTTGGACTTTTCCCCTGGCCAACTGACCAGGATAGAGTTAGGAAATAAAATAGGCCACTTGTCAACTCATTAAGTATTTCTCCAGAGGTCCCAGTGCTCTCCTAATTTGGAAACTTCAAATTCCAAAATAAATCTTTTCTTTTTACTGCTCGGACATTGGAGGTGAGGTGGGGGTGGGGGGATGTTGGAGTGAATTGCTGGCTTGTCTAACTCGTGCTGTCTCTAAATTGTTGTTAATTATCTGATTAAGAGTTTTGAGAAGCTGCAGTACCCAGTCAGAGAAGTCTACGTGGTTGCCATGGTGACCGGCTAGTTTGCCAGTCAAACCTGACCCCCAATGTCTGATTTCCTACTTTGGTTGCTTACCCCTCCTACTGACCCCACCCCCTTTCCCAATCCCAACAGGTAAAAAATTCCTGGAGGGTTCTGTTTGTAAATTAGTGTTTATCAAGTTAATTTGAATTGAGATGATCTCAAAATGTCGGAATGTGAGGCTGTAAATGCTGGATCAGCCTTGTGCTGCTTATTCAGTAAATGGCTTTGGACAACACTGCAAATGGCTGCCATTCTGGAGGACATGTGACTGAATACTCAAAATGGCTGCCATTCAGGTGGGCATGTGACTGAAAACACAAATTGGCTGCCTTCTGGAGGACATGTGACTTGATACACAAAATGGCTGCCATTCTGGAGGACATGTGACTGGATAGTCAAAATGGCTATTATTCTGGATATGAGGTGGCTGGACACTACAGATGGCTGCCACCTTGGAGGGTGTGTGACTGAATACTGGAGAACAGATGATGCTAAATAGCTGCCAACTTCAAGAATGAGTGGCAACTGGACACAATTTTACTCTGGACCTGGGAGGTTGGGTGCAAATGGAAATTTGAAATGGTGGCCAGTCTGGGATGGATATTACATATGGCCGAGAGTTGCGAAGGGCGAAAGACTCCGAAGATCGATTTCTTTGGAAACAGGTCCCACAATCAAAGAAGACAATCCTTCCTTCCGAAAATGGCTGTTGTAAATCATCTTCCCCCGGCCAGGCAACTCCAACCCACCCCTGCACCATCCTACAACCTCCCACCTACCCCACTGAAAATATAACACTTTTAAAAAGATGCATAGTCTACGTTAGTAGTTACTTCCATGCAAAACGTCCTGGGGTCTCCTTGACATGACCTATGGCAATTCTAAATGGATGTGGGAAAGGAAGGGAAAACAGGTGGGTGGTGATGTAGGGGAGGGGAGAAATGCCAGTAAGAAAGGAACTCTGCAGGAGCAGCTTTGAGCTTTATTAAAAACTCATTAAGGTGAGGTTGAGTGTGACACACTGCAGCAAGTTTTGGACCTAACTTTCTGATTTTAATCATTTAAAAGAAAATTTCCCCTCATCCTTTTAACAAGAGAATTAACTATTTAAAAAAAAAACAAAAAAAGTCTAACGCTGGCTGAATATAATTTAATCAAGTTTTCAAGTTATTTAAATGCATTTTACTGATTCCATGTCTCTCTTTCCTTCCAGTAAAACAATTTTACAAAAAAAATTAGATTCTGTCCTTCTTGGGTGCTGAGTTCTCTGAAGCGCTTTTTAAAATAGTGGCTACATGCCAAATCTCCAGTGTATATATTGTACAGAGCAAATGTCCATGTACTATATTATATTTGAGAGAGGTAATCAATTCTTAACAGAGGAAAAAAAAAGCAAGGTTGCTTAGCTGTGATGTTCAGTCTGACTGGACCTTATTAGTACCTGGTTTATATAATATGTTCTGAGACTTGTCACGTGTCCTATTTTATTCAAAAAGGTAGTTTACGACAAAACGGATTGATACACCCCTACACAGACCCAGTGAGTGGCGGGATGAACTTGCCTGTGATAGGATCTCCCTAACCCTCCACCTTTAGCATAAGAGACTCGGGTGCCCCAAACTAAAGGCCACAACCCTGCAGGAGTGATCTCGGTTGCTGCTGGGAGTTGGGCAATTGGGTACGGTTCATTGGAACTGAGGGACGTATGGAAATGAAATTCAGCCAGAGCTGCTGCTTCTGATGGCATTGAAGCCTCCCACTGTCTGCAGCATTACGTATGTGTGTGTGTGTGTGTGTGTGTGTGTGTCTGTCTGTCTGTCTGTCTGTGAGAACAGTCTGGGAAGAACAGCACAGGATGGCAATGCTGCTTGCCCCAGTTGAATTTCACGTGGGGCACCTGTCAGCTGCAGGTGTTGCGCTGGGCTGTGATGCCTGTTCCGTTTGAATACACAGCGTGAGTCTCTGGGCTTGTGTGTGAAAGCAAGTCATGGGGAAGGATGACAATGTGATCAGAGGGTAGAGTAAACCTGTAACAACCCAATTATATACATGTCTAGTCAGTCTGATGACCTCATTGGAAAATA